AGTTGATAACACCGTATTTTGACCACTTTTATAGATCATAATTGTATCTTATACAAGTGTTTTAACTCTGTTTTCAATGGTTTTTAAAGTGTTTTCAATGTTTTAGAGTTTCCAAAGACTTTACAGGAAACTTGGGCAAAAGATATGCAATTTAGAACAAATGAGCAATTTTGGATAAATGCAGACCGTCAGAAGTATGACAAGCGATGGAGACCAGCATAGAGGATCCAACCAGATTTCTAATGCACTTGTTTTGAAGATAATCCAACGGTTAGATCTTCAGATACTCCCGATGCAAGAATGACAGAAAATGCAGTTCCGGAAGAGAGCCATGTGCCGAGACTGTGGCCAACACCTGTTTTCCCGCGGGTAGAGCCACCGCTACCGCGGAACTTGGTCGTTCACTTTCCAGACAACTTAATTAAAGCCTAGATCAAGTCCTTTTGTTATTTTGGAAGCCCTAAGTGCCCAAAACCACCCCAAAAGCTATAAATACCCCCTTTAGGTCATTCCTAATAGTGTGTAGACGACATAAGATAGAAAGAGAAAGAGATTTCATGGAACCCTAGAGAGGAGGCCGCCGCATCAAAAGAAGGAGCCGCCGCTGGAGGAAGACATCGCACCTCCATCTGCTCTCCGTTCTTCGTTTTTCTTCCCTGTTCTCTTTAATTTTCTGCACTTTCAATACTCTGTAATGATTGTTTACAATATGTTTGAGTAGTTACCCAGTTGGGTTTAAAGGGATTGGTCAAAGGGAATTTCATGTGTCTTTGCTTATGAATCGATAGATTTAGGATTTATAATCTTCTAGATGTTCTTCGGTTGCCTTTAATCTTACTGTGTGATTCTCTGCTGGCCACTTAGAAGCCGATCTGATATGATATGTTGCGAAAGCTTTCATTGATTGTCTGAACTAGGGTGAAACGAGCAATTATTCTATAGGAGTGGAAACCTACCTGTAGTTGAGTTGTGAATATTGATGAGTCTTGTTCTGCTATTGCATCTTCTCCCTTCCAGGATCAGAGTGGAAACCTACTGATCAAGGTTGCGAGAGATAGTTGTTTAGTGCTGCGAAAGTAGGCTATTCATACTTCCGTGCCTCAAGTTCTAGAACATACGTAGTTGATTACCTTTATCATATGTTTAAAATCGACATAGCTTAGTCCATGAACCCCTACGAATTACCCTTGAGCCCCAACATTTGTCTTTAATTGCTTACAACCTTTGCTTTTCATTTGATTTTCTTTGCTTTCAATTTGCCTTTGATCTAATCGCTTTTTACTTGCTTTACTTGCTTTAGTTTTCTTTCAGTTGCTTTTTACTTGCTTTCTAGTTTAGATTTAGTGACAACCAAAATCCAAAACCAAAACCCAAATTGTTTAGTTGTAGTCTGATTTAAGCATTGTCGTGAATTCGTACTGAAACAACTAAGTCTCTGTGGATCGATACCCTAAGTACTACAGCGCACATCTGTGCACTTGCAGACATTTAGGGGTTATAAATTTAAAACCTGAAGCTTAGTAAAAACGAAAACAACAAACCCCGTTTACAATCGCATCAAGTTTTTCTCCAGGAGTCCCCGGCAACGGCGCCAAAAACAATAAGAGCATTTATAGATATACGGATGACCCACGACTTGCCTGTTTTGCCTGGATCATAGCACAGAACATGGTAAAGGTGAAGCATGATTTACATGGTTGCGAGGACGCTACTCCAGCTTACGGGAGTGCTATTACAGCGATACTACAGGCTGTAGGATTCGATTTCTCATCTGATGATCCACTTCCCGATGTCTGGTATGACCTACTTTATCTCTCTCGCGATCACACTATCTCTCGTGCCGCTTTTGATCCAGACAGGTTTGGTTACAAGTATTGCACTGGCACTGAGGAGGACCGAGTCTGTTTGCCTTCAGCATCAGTCCCGAGATTATGTAACGGAGGACGTCCACGATGGACTCCAGAACCCGATGAGTTTATGCCATCTGTAACTCGTCTACCATTCACCATTGGCCAATACATATTGGCCAAGGCAAAACGCGATGCAGCTGCGGCCCGTGCTCACTCTCAGCCATCTGTTTCGACCGACCACACCTCATCATCTACGTCATCGCACACACATTCGGATCTGGAGCGCAGAGTTGAGAGACAGGGACGACGCTTTGAGCGCGTTGTCACCTTCCTACAGGAGCAGCACCAGTTCGCAGCAGACACATCGGAGGATGAGTGATTGATCAGTACTTCACTGCCACCACGGTTCTATCATCATTTTCTTTTCATTTATCTTACTTTATTTCGCTTTTATTTACCATTTTCTCACCAACTTTTTCACACTGGGGACAATGTGATTTAAGTCTGGGGGAGGATGTCTATCCGTACTAATCATTTTCTTGCTTTTGCTTTCAAATTTCAAGCACTTTTTAATTTTTAATATGTAACCTATTCGACATTAAGTATTTTTCAGGAATGTTTGACACAAAACTATGATGATTTAGACCTGCACGCTTCTACACTATGCTGATAGCTCATTTGTGGTTAGCACTAGACTAGGCGGTAGCTAGAGTACTTGCACTACGAACTCCCACCAGAGGACTTCTATTCATTGAGATTCTTTCTAACAGGATATACTAGCTCATTTTATATGACCTTAATATTGTCATCTAATTTTCTCATCATTGATTTTAGGCAGGCATCGACATACACATCTAGGACGTCTTTTACCCTCACTTTTACCACTCTTTGTCGTCCTAGATGACCAGTTTATCTTTATCTGGTACCATACCCTAAACCCAAAACCCTTGTTTTCAATCCTCATGCATTCTCTCTTTAGTTTATATATGCAGATAAGTGCAAAAACGTTGGAGAGAAAGAGGAACGACGCAGTTTTCAGTCACCAAGGACAGAGACCTGCGATTTGCCGGAAAAGTTCCCGGAAGGATTCAACACAAGAGGAAGCTCAGTTTGCCTTAGAAAAATCTCAAATTTCTGTACAATCCCGTCCTCTAGTCTCTCTCTCTTTAAAAGGCATTTCCTTTCCAAAAAAAAAATAAAAAATATCCAAAAATAAGAAAAGAAATGAAATAAAAGCCTTAGAGAGTCTAGAGAGGTCGAATTTTAAGTCCCAAGGCAACTGGAGTTCGATTTTATGGAGTTTTCGAGATCATTTTCTGATTCCTGGAAAGAATTTAAGTCTGAGGGAATAGCTGTTCACGACAAAGGAGGAAGGATTATGCAACAACATTTGGCAAGAAGAAATGACTGAAAATTGCGGTCATCAACAGGTCCTTATCTCTCTTGCGGTTTGGCATATTATATTGCATCCTCCAGATTCATCAGGTAACCCAAAACACTTTAACTCCACCACTTAAACAGCCCTTTTAATGCCAAACGCCGTCTACCCTGGATGATGTCTTTAATGAGAACTCACTATTGAACTTAATGAATGTAGAGAGCTAGTTGACTGGAATCAAGATTTAGATTGTTTAAGTTTTGCATCACGGAAAAAGTGGACTAGTATCTTTTGTGTATTGGTGAGAATTTTCTAGACTAAATTGTGGATTGATGCACTATCTTTGGTCCTAGTTTAGGAGTTCATGTCTCTGAGATTTGTGCATTCCCTATTTTTTGTTTTCACTTAACCAGTTTAGACTTTTGCTTTGTTTGAGGACAAACAAAGGTTTAAGTATGGGAGAGTTGATAACACCGTATTTTGACCACTTTTATGGATCGTTTTGAAATACTTTTTCTATGTTTTTAATTGCTACTTTTATTACGTTTTTCTAGTATTTGTAGTTCCAAGACTCTTTTCAGGTAACTTAGGGAAAAGCATAACAAAATGGATAGAAAACCAGATTTCAGCTTAAAGTCAAAACGTCAGAAGTTCACCCCCGATTGAAGGCCTTCTCACCGTCTGATCCAGCTCAAATTTGGAGATCTTAAAGATGGCAGTATCAGATTTCCAGCACACTTTACAGCTTGGCAATCCAACGGTTCAATCAAAAGATACGCGAATAGCAAGATGTCCCGTAAACCAGCCCGCAAGCGTTTCCACCCGCGGCCAACAGGCCATTCCCTGCGGTCACAACCACTGCAACCGCGGCCAGCCACCCATTCCCTGCGGTCACGCACATCCCGACCGCGGCCAGCTAACTCTGACTTTGAAGGCCCATTTCTGAAGCCCGTATCATTTTCCTAGTCTCAATTCCAGAACCCTAGACACCAGAGAGTATTGGAGACTATAAATACATGTCATTTAGGTCGTTTTTTAAGAGAGAAGAAGAGAGACAAAATACTTTACAGAAATTTTACTTTAAGCTTTGCTTTTAGGTTTTAGGGAGAGAGAGATCTGTCTCTTGAATCCTTGTTCTTTCTTTTTCAATTTCGGTTTCTATTCTACTTTTTAATACTATGTTTTTTATTTTGTTTATTATGTCTAAGTAGTTTTATTGTTGGGTCTAAGGGATTTTCGATGTGGATTTATATGTTCGGTGAGGATTCCATGAGCTTTTGAGCCGAATCTAATAACTTTAGATAAGAGATGGGCGATAACAATAGACACTTGCAAGATTTAGATAAGCTTAGAGATAACCACCACGTCCAGAAAAACGTTGATGAGCACATTAGGTTCCAAAACGCTCCTCACTTAACTCTAAGAGATTATAACACTCCGTATGATTTCTATGAGAACCGTTCTCCCATTAGTCTACAACCCATCAACGTAGACTATGAGATTAGCCCGAAACTCATAAAATTGGTCAAGCAGAACCAGTTCCATGGTGATGCATCGGAGAATCCTATGGACCATCTCGAAGATTTTGAAGAAATCTGCAGTACCAAACAATTCATCAGAGTTCCTGCAGATTACATAAAGTGCAAGTTGTTTCCATTTTCTCTTTGTGATAAGGCACATGCTTGGTTCAAGTCTTTGTCTCCTGGTTCACTCAAATCATGGGACGAATGCAAGGCTGCCTTCCTTAACAATTTCTACACCACCTCTAGATCAAACTTCTTTAGAGACAAGATTTATAGGTTCCAACAAAAAGGAGGCGAACCTTTTTCATGAAGCTTGGGACCGTTATAAAGGCTACATCAGAGAATATCCTCACCACGGTTTTACAGAGATATGCATCTTGAACACCTTTTACGAAGGTCTTGAACGGACATCTAAGGCTCCTCTAAATGTAACAAGCGATGGAAACTTCATGACAAGGACTGTGGAAGAAGCTTACATCTTGATTGATAATCTTGCTACACGCAGCAGAAACAATTGTCCTGATCAAGGAAGAACATCACGTTCTACTTCCCATGATCATAAGGAAATTGAAGAACTTAAAGCCATGGTGAAATTGTTTTTCTCCAAAATCAGCAGCGTTCTGTTAATATCTGCGAAGCAGTTAATGCAGCTGAGACTAATCATCAACTTGGAGCACAAGATCACGCCCATATGAATCTCCAATCTGCTCCAAAATCATCTCCAAGCTCGAGCTTATGGTGCAACCACTTCTTATGAAGCTGCAAAGATTAGAAGACGATGTGGATATAAGAGTGGACTGCTTATACACTGACCTTAATGGTAAATTTGAAGCTCTTTCCACTCATGTTGATAGCATGGACGTGCAGCTATCGCAAATCATAGATAGTTCAAAAAGCACTGAAGCTATGGAGAGACGAATCGCTGAGGTACATGAAGAAATTGCCCAAGAGATCCGCAACCTTGAGCTTAAGTTAGACAACATGAATGATCTTGGGTACAAGTTAGACATCATGAATGATCACCTTAACAAGAACAATGAGGAGTCATTTCAGAAGTTCACTAACCTCTCAACTCATGTCAAGATGCTCGAGAAACAAATCGGACAAATTGGAGAAAGTGTGAAGAGACAAGATGGTCACCTTCCGGGAAAAACCGTAGACAATCCAATGTGGCGTTGCAATGTCATAAACACTGATGGTGAGAGAGAAGTCACGCCTATTCCTAGCAATCAGGACACTGAAGTTGAATCTCCAGCATGTCCTGAAGAGTATGATGCAATAGGCAAAGTTCTACAACAAAGGAAGCTTCATAAGATAAATGATTCAGTGAAGTTTGTCTTCCCCTGCATAATTGAAGGTATGAAATTTTCTGACTCTCTGTGTGACACAGGAGCAAATGTAAATGTCATGTCCAAAGCAGTTGCAAACGATCTGGGGATGTGTGATATCAAATCTCCTCACGGTTCCGTTAAGTTTGGAGACAATTAAAGCACGATACCATACGGTTTCGTAACGGATTTGATGATGCAAGTAGGAGGGTGTCTTGTTCCTGTTGATTTTCACATTCTTGAGATGGAAAATGACTCTCCCAGGACATTGATATTTGAAATTTTGTTCCTTGCAACAGTGGGGGCAGTTGTTGATTATCCTAACCTAAGAGTTTGTTTTTCTAAAGTCAAAAGAGAGTCTTCTATCCTGCAGTCTGTAGTGGTGGAAGCTCTTACTGTATAACCATCTACAACGAAGAGAAGTTGATTTTAGACCCTGGAGATACAAGGAAAGGTGCCAACACGTTTCTATACAAGCCTTTTCAGTCGAGCCTAAGGGAGTTGTCGAATCGAGAAAATCAAAGCACAAGGCGAGAAAATCTAAGCGCAAATCAAAGAAATCTACGGACAACACTATCTCACCTGATGCAAGCTCGACATTGACTTCTCAAGACCCTATTGGAGACGTGTAGAAAGACGGTAATTCTAAAGTAATCACCCCAGAGACACGTCCAGCCCCGCCTCCAAAAGCAAAACCTTCCGAGCTTCCATGGTTTATGCATATCGCGAATTACCTAGCAGCTGAGGTCGAACCGCCACGATTCTTCGGCGACAACAAAAAGAAGTTCTTGCGTGATATAAGAAGGTACTTTTGGGATGAACCATATCTTTATAAGCAGTGTGCAGATAACTTGTTTCGCAGGTGCATCTCCGAAGAAGAAGTTCCAGAAATCCTTTTTCATTGTCACGGATCTAACTATGCTGGACACTTTGCTATTGATAAGACTGTAGCGAAGGTTTTACAAGCTGGTTATTGGTGGCCTAACATGTTCAAGGACGCCCATAAATTCATATCTAAGTGTGATGCTTTCCAAAGACAAGGGAACATCAGCAAGCGACATGAGATGCCACAAAACTTCATTCAAGAAGTCGAAGTTTTTGATGTTTGGGGAATCGACTTTATGGGTCCTTTTCCTTCGTCCTTTGGAAACAAGTACATCCTTGTTGCTGTTGACTACGTGTCTAAGTGGGTAGAAGCCATAGCCAGCCCAACAATGACGCAAAAGTAGTAATGAAGATGTTCAAGTCGATCATATTTCCAAGATTTGGTGTTCCGCGACTCGTCATCAGTGATGGTGGTTCCCACTTCATCAACAAATTGTTTGAGAATCTCTTGAAGAAAAATGGAGTGAAACATAAGGTAGCTACACCTTATCACCCAGAGACGAGTGGCCAAGTGGAGGTATCAAACAGAGAACTCAAAAGAATTCTGGAAAAGACAATAGGACCAACAAGAAAAGATTGGTCAGCAAAGCTTGATGATGCTCTTTGGACATATAGAACTGCGTTCAAAACCCCATTGGGTACTACACCTTTTCAACTTGTTTATGGTAAAGCTTGTCATCTTCCATGGGAGTTAGAGCTCAGGGCAGAATGGGCCATAAGAAAGCTGAATTACGATATCCAGATGGCAAATGAGTTAGACGAGATTCGCCATAACGCCTATGAGAATTCTAAGATCTATAAAGAGAAGACAAAGGAGTTTTATGACAGGAAAAAAGTTCATAAGACGTTCTCACCTAATGACCAGGTTCTACTTTATAACTCACGTCTAAAATTGTTTCCCGGAAAGCTTAAATCTCGATGGTCTGGACCTTTCAAAATCAAAGAGGTTTTACCCTATGGTGCTGTGGTTTTATGGAACCGCCAAGGAGGTGATTTCACTGTCAATGGACAACGTCTTAAGCCATATTTTGCAGACATTCAAGAAGAAAAGGAAGATCCGATCTCCTTAGCAGATGCGCTTAATGCCTAAAAGACGATCAAGTCAAGCTAACGACTTAAAACAAGCACTTAGTGGGAGGCAACCCACTCGGTATTTTACCTATTTCCCTTTGATCTTTATTTTCTATTTTGTTGTTTTGTTTTTGTTTCATTTAATTTCAGTTTTTTTACAAGGAAGAACGAATAAAAGACGAGCAGAAATCATAAACCGGAAAACGGCAATCACTCCGGCCCTGTTGAAACTTCGACCTGCACTGCCATCATTCCAACCGCGACTCATTCTTCCGGCAAGGTAAGTACATCTAAACACTTCAAATTTCTTAGATTTTATCACACTGAGGACAGTGTGAAATAAGTCTGGGGGAGGATGTTCATCCGTTACTAACGAAATTTGATTTGTTTTGAGTTTGTTTTGGACATAAAAAATTATTCAAAAAGTTTTCAAAATTTTTTCAAAACGTTTTCAAACCAGGAACATAAATAAACAATACTATGATGATTTAGACCAGTGTGCTTCTACGCTATTTCCTCGTTTTTTGCTCTTTCTGTGATTTAGGCCTAGATTAGGCGGTAGCTAGAGTACTTAGACTACGAACTCCCACCAGAGGATTTCTATTCATGGAGATTCTTTCTGACAGGATATACTAGCTCATTTTATTTGGACTTAATATTGACTTAACTTTCTCATTAAAGCATTAGATCAGGGAAACGAATCATACATTCAGGACTCCTTTACCCCTTTACCACTCTTTGTTGATCCTGAATGGCTAGTTCACCTTTAGTTAGTTCCCCACAGTAACCCAGCCTTGTTCAAACCACATGCACTCTTGTTTTTCACTGTCCTATATGCAGATATGTGCAAAAACGTCGGAGAGAAAGAGGATCAACGCGGTTTTCAGTCACTAAAGACAGAGAATCGCGATTTCATTGGAATGATTCAACAAAAGGAGAAAACTCAGTTTGCCTTGGAAAAACTTCAAAATCTTGGTACAATTCATCCCTTAGACTCTCTCTCTATCAAAGGTTGTTTCCCCTTTTAAAAAAAAAATAAAAATAATAATAATAATAATATATCCAAAAAAAAGAGAAAGAAAAAAAAAAAAAAGAAGAAGGGAAAGGAAATTTAAAACCTTAGAGAGTCTAGGAAGATCGAGTTTTATACTTGAGGCAAGCTTGAATCTGATTATTTGGAGTTTTGGAGATTATCTTTCTGATTCCCGGAATAGATCTAAGTCTGGGGGAGTAACTGTTTACAACAATGGAAGAAGATTATGCAACAACATTTGGCAAGGAGAAGTGACTGAAAAACTGCGGACATCAACAGGTCCACTCTCTCTTGCGGTTTTGCATAATATCTTCCATACTCCAGATCTTCAAGTAACCCGAAACACTTTAACTCCACCACTTAAATAGCTCTTAATTACCAAACACCGTCTACCCTGAATGATGTCTTTAATGAGAATTCACTATGCACTTAATGAATGTAAAGAGCTAGTTTACTGGAAGTTAGATCTAAGTGTGTAGATTTTTGCATGACGGATCAACGGACTAGTTATGTTTGTGATTTGGTGAGAATTTTATAGACTATATCCAGATAGATGTTTTACGATAGGTTATGGTTTAGAAGGATGGTCACTGATATATTGTTTAGCTCCTGTGGGTTTTTAAAGATTCTTTTCCTGGCTTGATCTATGTTTTGTTTGAGGACAAACAAAGGTTTAAGTCTGGGGGAGTTGATCACACCGGATTTTGACCATTTTTATGGATCGTTTTAATATCTTACGCAGGTGTTTTAACTCTGTTTTCAATGGTTTTTAAGTGATTTCTATGTTTTAGAGTTTTAAAAGAATTTTCAGGAAACTTGGACTAAAGATGTGCAATTCGGAACAAATGAACAATTTTAGATAAATGTAGACTGTCAGAATTATGGTACTCGATAAAGACCTTCTCACCGTCTGATCATCCCCAAAATTTGAGACAACATAGAAGAGACAACCAGCTTTCAAATGCAATTGGTTTAGAGACAATCCAACGGTTAGATCTTCAGATATTCCCGATGCACTAAAGACAGAAAATACGGTCTCGAAAG